ATGAAATCAGTTGGTTTTTGGTTAGGATGGATGGAGGGGAATACTTAGCTAAATTATGCCTGTGGAAGACAAAAAACAGTTGTTGTTGTCAGTTGTTGCCAGTTGTGGTTGTTGGCCTGGGAAGCGAATCGAAATGTGAATTGTAACTGCAAATGTATTGTGCAAATTACCAACATATGTAGTTAATTACTAGAAACTACGTTTATTTATTTGAAACCGATTTCGATCCAATCGTTCCAGCAACTGATCACACGACAACCAACTGCAAGACTTGGCTATATAAAAATGTAAGCAATTGCACAGCAATAGAATAACGATTTCATCAGAATGCAAAGTTACAAGAAGACTATTATATGCATATATATATATATATATATAAATAATATACCTTGATTAGGTTTGACTTGGGCCATTTTTGACCTGTTCTGATACGTTGTGGATCTCGCTTCCTTTCTGAATCAGTGGGTAAGTCAGCCAGTTGCATTTATGGTTTTCACAATTCTGGCTAATCTCATATTTTCTAACCGTGTTCGACTTGATAAGAAGTGACTTCCTAATATGGGGCATCTTTTGCTCATCAGTGCGGGGCAGAAGCGGAGATTCTACATCCTCTTCGTCTCTGCGACTTCGACTACGCATTTCCTTACTGCGTTTACTATTTAAATTGGTTCAGGTTTGACCACAGTTGACATTTAGCCATTTGTCATTTGAGTCCGAGTGTATTATTTTCGCTGATTTTGAGCTTGCTTATCCGAGAGGAGGGTTAATAGAGTGGCCTTTCCAGCTAGCTATACCCTGATATATAATAATGTGTATGCAACTGTATTGATTGTATTGAGATCGGTTGGGAAACACAAAGTGAATAAACTGTAATCAGCCAGCTTACAATGAACTTGGCTTTTGCTTATCTTTTATTCACATTCAACTAGAATCAAGTTCAAATGAAGCAAAAGTCAGCAAAACACGTTTGCTCAAGATGAACTGAGCATGTTTCTGGATTATGCATTAGCTGGGATTTGCATAGATGACTATTTGGATCAGTTAATGTTTGACTCTTCAATGCCATTAATCATGATACACGTGTGGGATGCCAGGCATTTGAGAATGTGAAATTAAGTGTGTGTATGTGTGTGTGTGTGTGTGTTATGATATAAGGCAAATTCAAAGAAACCACGCCACAATTGGGCTAAATGGCAAATTCCAGGCAAATAAACAAACAAATTTCCACGCCTTTGGCAACGTCAACTTAACACAAATTTTACATTGTGACAGTTGTGTGTGTGTATTGTGTGTGTGTGTGTGTGTGTGTGTGTGTGTATTGTGTATATGTGTGTGTGTATTGTGTGTGTGTGTGTCGTTTACAAAACGTGTGCGCATAAATATTTAAATGCCAAAAAGTCACGTCTTGAATAATTGTTTAACTTGCAAATGGTAGGAGCAGCAAACGGGTTAATGTTAGGTGGTTGGGCTATGAAAGGGAGATGGTTGGCTGGGTTTTGGTGGGTTAAACTAAAGAGAAGAATAACAACGACTGCTGTTGCTATTTTAGGAAGTTTTTCAACTAAGTGCAGCTGCTGACAAGATGGCATTACCAGGTCCTTAGATCCAGTTGCTGGATTCATTATTATGAACGCAAATTACTCCAACAACAGCAGCATCGTGAGGGTGCCTATGTGTGTGTGTGTGTGTGTGTGTGTGTGGTTGTTAATTTTCATTTTAAATCCATAAAAATGTGCAAATACCCAACAGGCACTCGCAGCAGAGCCCACGTTGCTACACCCGCAGCCAGATCCCGCTTCAGTTTCAGCAGCTATAGCAGCTACACACACACACACAGAAAGAGAGAGAGAGAGAGAGAGAGAGAAAGAGATAGAGAGAGGGAGACACGTAGCCGAAGCCAATGAGGCAAGGAAGTCAAGTCAAGAATGGCGCACGTGCTAACCTAAATATGAATATGAATATGAATACGAGAATAGTGTAAGTGAAGTTATTAAAGCTCCTAACGTGCACATACATAATAATGCAGTACACACACCAATACACACACACACACACACACACACACACACACCAATACACACACACTAACACCCAGTTATAGCTTTCAAAAAATTTCGCTGTTAAAAACATGTAATGCGATTTTCTCACTCTCTACGCGATATATACACATATATACATATATATATATATATATATATATATACATATATATAGCAGTGGCAGGCAAGCATGATTTATGCTGCAGCAAGATGGGATTGCTACTGTTCTCCTTTGGGGCTGTGTGGCAACATCAGAAAACAGAGCAGTTCAAAGTTTAATTGCAGCACGGAAGAGCCCGTCATCTAAATAAATAATATAAAAATAAAAAAATAATAAAAAATTCAAACAATTTTAAATTGGTCTGCGACTTTGGGAATACTTCTAATCAATATATATATACATATATATATATATATATGGGCAAATCAGATCTTCCGATCAATAAGAATGATCTAGTCGAGAGAGTTAAGCTGCGAGATACTTTTATGAATCGTTAATAAAACTATTTCATTTGGAGAGACTTATATATATAGGATTTGCCGATTTTTGATTGCCAGTGAGTGATATATTTAGACTAAGATTGTGCAATATTTGTAGGCTGGCAGGATGTAGGCTTATAGGATTATGGCGCATAGTAGCCAAGGCTGCAAATGAGGATGAGGCAAGTCGAGCAATAAACACTTGCAATGCCAACACGAGAAAATGTTGAGAGAAATATGCACATGCAACATTTGATTTTAGATTTTTGGATTGTGCTTGTGATTGTGCCGCACTCAGCATGACACACATATTTTGAGGCAAGTGGCATAAAGTTGTACGCATTTGAATTGTATTCGGGCAAGGGGAAAACACTTGCGAGTACTTAAGTGTGTTTGGGTGAGTGAGACTCACTTGCAATAGCAGCACTTGGCGAAGGTGAAGAGCTGCTAGCTGACTGGCTGGGGCAACACAACTGTACCTGTATCTGGGCCCCAAGCTCGTCTAACGCTGGCAGCGGTTGTGGCACGTGTTCTGACTGTATAAGATGGCGCTTTGGCGCATTCCTCAGACGATGGTCATAAAAAGCCAGCCAAGCATTAAACATGCCCACAAATTAGTGGTGCATTTGGGACTTTAACTACGTAATATATATATGTGTGTGTGAGTGTATGTGTGTGTCAGTTGTGGCTGTCTGTCATGCAACAAACTTGAAACCGCCAAAAGACAAGAACAACTAACAACATTTTGAGACACATTTGCAAAGAGTCGCCCAGCAATGATTTTCAAGTTTTTAATGGCTTGCCATCTGCCCCCGAATGGCAAATGAAATTCGTTTCCAGATGTCGTTTGTGGCACAACCAGCAGCAGCAGCAGCAGCAACATCAGCTGCATTTCAACTACATTATTAATCGCTATTCACATTCACATTTCTTACATTTGACATATTTTTACATTTATTGTCAATCATTCAAACAACAACATTCAACTTTTACTATTATTTATGAGTTATTCTTGTTATTTGACAATCTTTCTAATTACACTTAATATGAACAATTTTATAAAACGTATGTAGCATGTAGCATGTAGCATGTAGCATTTAGTTGTTATTATCTAACACACTTCCATCAATCAGCCTTTTCTACACACTCTGGTCATGTTTATTGATTTATTCGAAACAACTACTCAGAAGAAGAGTGAGTGGTGTGAGTTGTAAATATTTACAAATTGCTGATATGCAATTAAATATTCAAATAGGTGTAATGGGAAAGGACTGTTGACTGTTGACAGGCACACTTAAATAAATAAATAAACATGCCTCAATTCGTAAATGAAGTAAACATGAACATGAACAAAATACACACAACTCACTCAGTTGTTTGTTTGTCTATTTGCAGTCCCTCAATATTGATGTGAATATAATGAGTGCAATTCATGACGTGTTTCTCATGCCATTTGCATGTCACTTAGATGACTAAATAATTGCAATTAATATTGCGTCAACAAATAGTATGAATATTAATTAAGAATTAATTGTCATTCACTTGGGCACAATGTGTGAAAATGTCACAGCAATCATAATAACTAGCAAACGACAACTAATCCTATAAACTGCCAGGACCCAAGTGAAGATTATGCAAATGATTGCGTATACTTGATAAGCTCATTCGTAAGCTGTCCTTATTCAAACCACTCAATTTGAGCAGCTCGTTGGTATTCAGGTGCGCTATTAAATGGAAATGGAAATGGAAATGAAAAAGGGAAATGTAAATGAAAATGAAAATGAAAATACAAGGATTAATAAGAGCAAGCTTATGACTGGATCAGCCTGACACTATTTACTCATTGGTCTCTGACTTCAACTTGTATTTATAGTGATTGCACGTGAGATTTACATACACATATCTATCCAATTGGCATTCGACATGAGTTGTTCTTAACTCGTTGACTAAGTGCTCCTTACAAATTCACAAATTCGTTCATTTAATAATTAACAGTGAGGCACTAACACTAACAAATGTGAATTATAATTAAATAAACAGCAAATTTGGAATGTTTCTTCGTTTAACAAGTGCTTCACGTGCGTAATCAAATATGCATTAAGACATTTTGATTTGCATTTATTGACTTAAGTTGCTATTACATTTGCATTTAAGAACGCCAACTGAACAATTGAACAATAAATAGGCAGCCAAATGACCAGGTTAGTAAGACATTAGGCCTCTTTATTTGGGGGAAGTGTTAATCGAAATCAATTTGACTAGAACTAATTCTACAATACAATCTTCAACATATCAACCTATATTCTATATAAATTGTGTGCTCTATATATTTGATAAGTAATTAGTAATATTTTCTGTTTTACAATGTAAAGTTTCGATCTGACAGCAGCATTTTTTGAGCATGCAAATTTGAATTTGTTCACAAATCTTAATCAAAATGAATTCACGAACCGATCCTAGGCTGTCAAGACGAAGGTGTGCTCTAATTCGAGTGTAAACAGCTATTCAGTTTATTAAGCTACAATCAACAAGTGAGATTAACCATTCGATTTGGATGATTAGGCCTTAGCCGTAGTAGGTGGTGCGGAGCAGGGCAAAGAATTGATACGACATGCTGATGACCTTCATGAACGTGTTGAACGAGATGGGCGGAAATGTGGGCGGTCGTATCGAGGCAGGCTTGTGGCTACGCAACATAATATAACGCATGATCTGTTTGTACCTTGAGTCGCAGCCCAGCCAATTGTGATTGAATGCCGATTCGCCAATGCGGGAACTCTATATGGAATATAGAATATATAGAATCGAATATTAGGGATGAGTAAGACTCACCGAGGATATCATCTCATCGCCATAAAAGCACACCACAAACACCTGCACCAGCGATGCGGAGAAGAATATAAAATACAGCACAATATCCTCCACATTCGAGGCGGTGATCTGAAAGCCAGCAAAACAAATGACCAACGAGGCAGCGATGAAGTTCCACAAGATTGTAAGGCTGAAGATTTTGTTCACATCCTCGCAGATGCTGCAATAGATGATATTCATTAAACATAAACACAAGTACTACAGACGTGAGGATAATGTTATGTATACCTAATCAAAATCCTAATAAAATAATGCCTACTTTTTACTTATTATTACTAAAATAAATAAATATTTCTTACAGACCTCAGCAGTCTTAAGTTATCAACTTGAAGCAATTCTCTGGAAATGAATTAAATAAATGAATAATATTACTCAACTCTATTTGAAATTTGGTGAATTCATTTGAATATACAAAAATGATGAGACATTAAATGGTTCTTCATGCACTAATTCAACATCTATGAAAACACAGATGCACCAGTTCCCAGGATGTTGGAATCGATAGTATCTCGAATCGATGGCAAACTTACTCCAAGGTGCGCGAATGATAGACCACAAAGTTCTGGGCAAACTTGAGATTCTCTTCATCGGAGTGGGCATCACCATCGTAGGACTCCAGTGTGTCGGCCAGGTAGTTGAAGTGCATGGTCAGCTGGGTGATTATGGTGATGAGGAGGAGATCGACGCACACGTAGGAGACACCGGCCACATAGGCACAGTGGGCCAATCCCCAGTAGGTGACCCAATAGACAGTTATATCCGTTTCGGCATCGTACGGATACAGGATGGGAAAACCGTAGTTGCGCTCAAATATCTCTGAGCCCATAAAATAATATTTAATCGTCGATTTGATGGCCGGATAGAAGCTGAACGATGACGTGTACGTCATACAGAGGCAAGTAAATAGCCACATGATGCGTGTCATGTGCGACTTATAGTAGGCCACCCGATAGGCCAGCTGCTTCTCCTTGGTCATGGGAAAGATCTCACACAGATCGTCCAGCAGTTGGACCAATGCCTTCCGATTCGCCGTCATGCCAATCTGCTTGAAATCGGACATGAAACTGAAGCCAATGCAGGGCGCCACAGCCGTCGCCTCCAGCAGGGTCGTCGTCGACAGAATGTGTACTATGAAATAGGCAATCTCGCCGACGACATACGCATTGAAGTTGATGAAGCCGAGCACCAGATAGAAACGCAACAAATAGCGACGCAATCGATTGGGGTCCCGCGCCGAATACAGATCCTCGCCAATCGTCTTGTAGAATGTTATTGGGAACCGTGTCAGATCCTCAAAGGTGTACTCATCTCGTTGCTTCTTTTTGCGCCAGAACATCGTGTCGTATGCCACTTGCCTCTGTTTGACATGCCACCAACTGGGGCACACGTCTTTTATAGCTGTGACACCAGCCCAGATAAGCATGCAATACTCATGAGGGAAGCCAGACAGTTGCACATGACGCTTCTCCACTCATCGTTGTCCTCTGGCTGGTTACCCAATTGACCAATTATTGACACCTGCTTTGGGTCACTTGCATTCGAGCCCTGAAATTTGTAAGCCTTAAAAGTTTAACACATTTTTGCCATTAATAAATAAATGCAGTTGCCATCCATCCATCGATATTAAAATGTGAAAAAACAATATTTGGCTTATGTCGAGACAATGATACCCTTTTTTGAGATTGCCACAGAAAACAGAATTTGTAGTTGCTTTGAAATAGATTTGATTCGACGATTTGATTTAATATTTATTATTTATTTAACATTATATTGTCCAATGATTTATCTATAATTTGATGATGTTTGATGTTATCTGTCACAATAATTTGAGGTTGGAAATTTGTGAAATTCGCGCAAATTAATTATTTTACAAGAAGAAATAAAGTTGATTACAAAAGTTGATTATTATTATAATAATAATTATTTTCAGATTTTTCTTTTCTTTCGTGATTATCCAATAAATCGGTTAATAGAATATTAAACATTAATTGCTTAAAATGGTATTTCAAATGGTATCAAAACCACAATGCCAAAACCATAAAAGACGTCATTCAGAGCAAAGCCCAAACGGATGAACGGGAATGAAAATAATGCTGAGATATACAAACAAACAGATAAAAAACAGATAATGCTTTTGGCAAATGCTCGACACGACTCTGTAACACACTTGACTGTGGTTGTGCGAAGGGGTCGCGAAGTGGTCGCGAAGTGGTCGGGACAGGGGCAGCGGGAGGTGGACTGGGAGAGGGTGGGAAACATCAAAGTACTTTGCGGAAAATCAAGTGCAAGAAAGCGCCCTGCAGCGATGTGGCAGAGAGATGAGTGCGGTTGTCAGTCAAAGTTTTCATTTAGCCAAATATCTTTATTTGTGAACGGATGCTGGTTGAGTGGTTGATTTGACTGTTTTGGCGGTTATCTGAACTGGCTTAGAAAGTGCCAACCACATTTTGATGTTCACGCGCTTCAAAAGTTCTTCCGCAAATTGTTTCAATTATTCATTGAGAATGCGCCTCAAAAGCGAAAAACATGTCGGTCTTGTGTCAGAATGGCTTATTGTCTGACTAACTCACGGACTGACTGACTGACTAACTGATTTGGCTGACTGACTGACTGACTGACTGACTAACTGACTGACTGATTGACTGACTGTTCACACACTCTCAACGGACATTTTTCAAAATTACTATTGTATTTTTATGGGCTCGTTTTTGTCGAGTCGGAAAAAAATGCAATTAAAAAGGCATGGAAAAGTACAGCTTTGCTCACCTGTAATGCCAGATATTGTGCTCCTAACTATTAGCATCGGATTACTGTATCATAGATAGTCTGTAAACTACATAATAATTACAGTAATTACTTATAGCCAATACTTATAAATTTGTTTATTATAATCGCGTCAATGCTGGAATGTTGAATTTAATTAATTGCTTAACTACAACTCAATTGGTACTGTTGTTGAAGCAGCCACAAATCAACTCTGCAACGGGCTGGCAACCCTAAGGTGCCGCTGTCTGTTTGTCTGTCAATTTCAATTTCAGTTTCGTTTTCATTTTCATATTTTTCTTTCTTCAATATTGTTTTTGTTACTTGCATTGTTTATTTGCAACGTTTAATTTTGCGCATGAAATATAGTTCATAATTAGTGCATATTTTTCAATTCAAACTGTTTTTTTCTATCCGTTTTGTGCTGTTATTTTGCTAATTGTTTTCAATTTTTGCGTTGTCTGTGGAAAAATGCATGGATGTGGAAATGGTATGTGGAAGTGTTTATATTTATATATTATGCATTAGGCTTGGGTCTAAGTGTAATTATCCGTAAAATTGATTATCTTATTCGTGATTGCCATTTTGACATGGCGCATAAGCGTTTGAATTTACATTTGTAATCACAAATTGCAAATCAATTAATTAACTTGTTATTTGGGCCTTATGTTAAGCTCGGAAAACAATCAGTAAGCAATCCGGCAAAGTGATTGGCTCTTATCTGGATATGACAAGTGGATATATACATATATAAATCTCAGTTGTGGAATCCATAATTACGCATACGAATATTCTCTGAGAACCCTTAACACAACCCAATTGTCCTTTGAGGATAAAACTCTTATTGGTATAGTTGGCTGCGCAAATTGCAAATTGCAAATTGCACAAAAAGATGCTTATCTCTCAGTTGCAGAATTAACTGGACTTGAACAATTAATGGTGCATGCAACTTGAGCTATTAATTATAATCCACTTCACTTCTCTATTTGTCTTATTGCAAATAGAAACAGAAGCCAGAAGTCTGTCCGTGTGAGTGAACTTCAAATATATATTCACCTATGCCCAGTGGGAGTCTGATAGATGTCAGATTGGAATATCGAAACAGATAGAGACAAACATCTTATATATGTGAAGGTGTCTATGTTCAATCTCCGTTTTATTAGGAATAATGATATACTATGGAGCCAGAGACTTGCAGGTTGTGTGAAAACGATGAAGAATCCGCAAGGCACATCCCAGCCGAGCAGAGTGAAGAAGACATGGAATCAACCCAACAAAGATTCTCGTATTCCCGTATAGATCTAGCAGGTCCCTGTGCAGCTATCCCAATAATAATAATAATTATGGGTTGAGGGAAAGAACGTATATTTTTTATTCAGTTCACCTGTGACACCTCATTAAGTTATAAATTTTAAACTATATATTATATTTGTCCGATGTTCATCATTTTTTGTTCTCAAATGATTTCAGAATATTCCGCAGCTAAAAAGGATTGAAAAATATTGTATTCCATACAGGTATTTTTATGCTTTACGATGCAGAATTGCAAATGGTTATCTAAATTCGTATCAGTTTCACACAATTTTAAAGCTAGAGTCACCAAATGTGAATGGTGGATTACTGGTAAGATTGCCACATATAATTCCACTCCAGCCACAATCTGCCAGCTAAAAAAGTGTGCTTAACTTGTGCTGTAAGCTGATTTTTGTGTGCTTTTGAGTGCAGTTGGAGCTTTAGTTGCTGCTTCCATTTGGCTTCATTTCACAAATTATTCGCATTCTTTCATGTGAATTATTCGAATTTTCTCTAAAAGCATCGTCCGATCCATTGTTGGTTGACCGTAGCAATGTTCATTTTCTTTATTTTTTTTTTGTTTTTTTTTGGTTTTGACGGCATTTAGACAACAGGCTGTCCATGACAAGGCAGGCAAGCAATATCTTATTACGCTCGCTCGGCTTTGCTTTTCCCTTTTCCCATTTTTTCAGGTTCAATTTTGAAACTATAAAGGGCCCTCACGGGCTCTGTTCACCTGTTCAGCTTTGTGTTAAGTTTCAAAGAACCCACTCGCACCCCTGCCAGCCACTCTCCCGGCCTGCCAGCCCTCGCCTAACCTCGCCTTGCCTCGCCATGCCTCGCCTTGCCTCGCCATGCCTCGCCATGCCTCGCCATGCCTCGCCATGCCTCGTCTGCCCCTTGGCCGCTCTTGAGTTGGCTATGCAAGGAATGGCTTTTTGTGATGTACGCTTACTTAAATTGGGGAATTTATGTTTTTGCGCGAAAAGTCTTTACAATCACACAGGTTGAGTCTATTTGATTTTATTTAGTAATAGTTTCTAGAATTAAGTTTTTTGTAATTACTTTTCTACAGTCAAAAAATGTACATCTTCATAAATACAAAAATTACATAACAGATATTATGACAAAGTAATCAAAAATAAGGGCACCTTTTCCGTTTCATTCATAAATCTTTCGAAATCATTCAATTCTGCTTTCCCTTATTATGCAACGTTCGTAAACGTTTTACTGGCAGCACTATTTTACTGCTGAGACACAATTACTTCATAAATGAAGAACATTTTAATTCTTAAACAAGAGAATAATTTCTTCAAACTGTACTTATTTGTATATTATTATTATATAACGATTTTCCAGTTATTCTAAAAGAATTGATAAATATACACAAGAATATGATTTATATCCTTGACTAATAAACAGATCGTCAAACTTACGTTTATTATTTTATTATTATATAGTTCGGAATGGAGCTGTTTCCACATAAACTAAATAAATATGATTATTTTATTAAATTATATATAATAATATATAAAACGAGAATACGAATATATATTCAAGACAGAGTATTACAGAATCAGTTATTCCGCATATGAATGATGGCCGATTTGCATATATTTATTTATACCCTGAACCCATTAAAAGTGGGCAAAAAGGGTATATTGGTTATGTGCACTGTGTGTATGTAACAGACAGAAGGAAGCAGCTCCGACCCCATAAAGCATATATATTCTTGATCAGGGTCAACAGCCGAGTCGATATAGCCAATGTCCGTCTGTCCGATCTCAGAGACTATAAGAGCTAGAGACTTCAAATTTTGAATATAGCTTCTCATATACCCGGCGCAGATCAATTTTGTTTTATTTTATCGATAACTGCCTCCGTTTCTCTAATATCGATATATATCGATTTCCGATAGCAATAAATGCCACAATTTCAAAGACAGAGTCTTCTAATTAATACATAATATGCATATGCATATTGTTGATCAACTGCATAAGTTGCATCCATATCGGATAAGAAACACCCAAGTTATGGTCGAAAATATATTGCCTTAAGAAAAGAGTGCACTTGCAGACCTGCTCACATTTGGGTGCAAAACTTCTTATTGGGAAGTTTGCCAGTAATTTTCGAATATATTTTACAGCAGGGTGTATCGTAGTTGAGCTCACTCCTTACTTGGTTTTTGGTTGTGATTGGTGTAAGTGTATTTAAATTGGTTGGTTGGGTGCCAAGCAAAGATATGCAAACTCAAAGAAGTCATCTCCCCGGCAGAGCCGGCACAGGCGAAACACTTTGTGTGTGGT